TTTAAGGATCGATTTGCATGAAGTTTAAAGACATACAAGAGAAGATGATTGTTACGAGACTTTCATTACAGGTAGAGCTAAACATGTCTAGCATGAAAATCAATGATTTAATAAAATTTGAGTCAAGGTGGAGATTATTAGGAATAGTGACACAAATTACATAAGTGATTTGTTTGAAAATGGTAAGATATAGCTTGATGGATAAAAAAACTTACAGAAAAAGAATTCTAAGAGAAAAGAGATTCTTAATAGGTAAGTTAATATATTTATAAATATGTAAAGTCTTTATAGGATTAGGTATGAAAAAAAATATGTGAGAGAGTTGTTAGATTTTATGAGATAGATACCCCATATGACTATTGAAGATTTACTTCTTATGGATGTGTATGTTTAAATGTTTATGAGTATACTAGAAAAGACTAAAAAAGTCCACACGGGTATGGTCTATGGGTGCACATGGATATGTATTTGTTTGGGTTAAAAATACTCCATAGGATTCAAAAAGATTGATAGTATCTATTGGTATTGATGTGGCCGATATAATTGTATGTTTGTAATTTTTTATAACTAATAGATCTTTTTCCTCATCCATAGATGTAGGTCAATTGGGCTGAACCAAGTTAAATTATTATTTCTTATATGATTTATTGATTGTTTGGCTTTTACTTCCGTTAGCTTAATTGGATTGAACTTTTTGCTAACACTTTTATCCTCAACGATTTCATTTCATTTTGAACATTCCTTTGATCCTTTTTCTATTGGTTGCTTTCTTAATTCTCATATCCTTCTATTTCCCTTCTACTAATATGATTTTTATATGTAGTTCTATGACATATATATGTAGTTAAATTATGAATCCTACGTTTTTAAAAGAAGAGAAATGTGTATGGTTTGAACAGAGGATTGTTGCTTTTGACTCCAACAATAAAAGATGGGTAGTAGGTGGCATCCAACACCATGAATTATGACATAAACAACTCAGCTCATCAAGTTTTTGGTCTATATCTAAAAAAAAAAAAGACTGCAACATACTGTTATACATGCATGAACATTAATGTGATATCATTAGATATATACCTTTTGTACATAAAATCAAAAGTAGATAGATTACTTTAAAGCTTTGTTTGATAAAAATGATGAAAATAAGTGATGATGACAAAATTATTAATTTAATTATTAAATTACAAATTAAAAATATTATAAATTTAATCATTATATTAATAAGCTTTTCATTTTTATTCCATTTCATTATACTTGTTGAGCAAAATCTAAGGCAATGATGTAAAATTTGCAAAATCTTCACAAGTTTTATCATAAACACATCGTTAACAAAAGATTACTGGTTTCCAAATCCAATACTTTTTATTATTGAAACAAGTAAACTAACTTATTGATCAAGAACTCCTATTGTTTATTTGTTTAAGAGGAATATATATTAGAAGATGGAAAAGGGCTTGTTTTGGTTCCAAGTCAAGTTTGCTTACATGCCTAATAATCTGTCCTGGTGCCGTTAAACCAAGAAGTGAAAGGCATAAAATATTTGTTAATGCAATCATGTTAAAAAAAATAATTGATGTTGTACTTTGTGGAATTGCATGTCCCTCAAATTAATTTTCTAAAAGTTGTTGGGACTAATGATTGAAATCTCATAACATATTTGTTTAAGATTGGTTAGATATTGCTTGATGGATAAAAAGACATGCAAAAGAAGAATTCTAAAAAAAAAAGATTCTTAATAAGCAAGTTTGTATGCTTATAAATAGATAAAATCTCTATAGAGTTAGGTATGAAAAAAAAATATAAGAGAATAGTAAGATTTTATGGAATAGACACCTCATAGAAGTACTAAAAATTTACATCTTTGAGTGTGTATGTTTGTATGTTTATGAGTGGACTAGAGGAGACTGAGAGGGTTCACATAGGTATGGTGTATAGGAATGGACTAGAGGAGATTGAGAGGGTCCACGTAGGTATAATGAATGGGTATATATGAGTATGTGTCTATTTGTGTTGAAATGGTACACATGGGTATGTGTTTGTTTGAGTTAAAAATATTCTATAGGATTAAAGGTGATTAAAAGGGTCTTATAGGTATTGATTGTTAAGTGGTTGATATGATTTATTTTGATGTAATTTTCTATAACTAGTGGATCTTATTTCTCATTTGTGGACGTAGGTTAATTGGACTAAATCATATTAAATTATTATCTCTTATGTGATTAATTGATATTTTGATTTATCTTTCATTGGTATAATTGGATTAAAGCTTTTTAGCCTAACAAAAATGAAAACTTTTCTTTTCTAAACTAGGGTTGAAAATATTGATGTTGCAACATTAATTACTAATAAAGGAATGGAACTTTTTTTTATTAGACTGAAAAGTGCTTAATACTAACCTATGATATAATTTTGGTCTTTATTATACAATTTTGGTAACCTTTAATGAAATTTTGATAATCTTGAATAATTTTGAAAATTTTTATATAATTTGGTAAGTTTTGAAATAATTTTGATAACCATTGATACAATTTTGATTTTGATAATCTATGATATTACTTTGATTTTGATAACCTTTTATATAATTTGGTAACCTTTGTTACAATTTTGATAACCTTTGATACAATTTTAATAACATTTGATATTATTCTAATAATTTTTTATATAATTTTGATAATCATTTATACACTTTTGGTAACCTTTAATAAAATTATGGTAACTTATATATATATATATATATAATTTTGATCACTTTTAGTATAATTTTGGTAACAATTGATAGAATCTTAGTAACATTGAAAATTTTTTTGATAATTTTTAATACAATCTTAGTAACCTTTAATGCAATTTTTATAATGTTTAATATAATTTTGATTTCTATAAACCTTGAAATTATTTCACTAACTTATGATAGAATTTTTTAATCCATTGATACAATTTTGAAATCCTTGAATAAGATTTTGATAACATTTAATATAATTTTGATAACTATTGATAAAATTTTGATAATTTTTAATAGAAGTTTAATAACCTTAGATGCAATTCTAATAACATAGGATACAATTTTAGTAATTCTAATAACCTTAGAAGCTAGGCTCTTAGTTTTGATCTAACGGACCAGACTTAGACAACAAACTAGGCTCGATCAGCATTTTCAAACAGGCTTGAGCAAAGTTTTTGAGACCCAAGCTCAGCCCAAATACTAATTTTATTTCTTTTAACCACTATATATTATATAGCTTTTGCCCCTTATTTTTGCATGTTCTATAGGGGAAAGAGGATTCCTTTTTCATATTACCGCTAAAATTATGTTACATTTGTCAGATTAATATACATATGATTCATGATTGAATCAGTTTAAGCCTATAAAAATGTCATAAAATTTGGATCATCAATCAAAATTGTGTTGAAAGTTCATATCCAAAATGCCTAACCAGCCCTAAACGCTTTTAACTTTTTTTTTTTTTTAAATATATTTGGAAAAGTCCATGCTTGTGGAAAATAGAATTAATTAAAATCCAACCACCACTTTGAAATGAGACACACCCAATAAATTTCCAAATATATATATATATATATATATATGGGAGACTGTCTAACCCAACCATGGAGTTTAAATCTGGAGAATGTTTCAAAGACAGGTAGATTTGATTGTTTCAATAACTAACTGTACTTTGTTTCCAATTGACAAAACTGATGCTGCACTTTTACTACGACTTCCATCCATCATCCATGGGCACCTACTCCCACTGCCTCCACTGGCTCCACCCTTGATCGTGAGAAAACGGAGGAGATATTTCTCACAGTGAAACTAAATTAAAAGAAAAATATCATTATCATTCAAAATTATTGGAAAGAATGATTGCATCGACACATCTCACCAAACTATATGAAAAGCCAGTTGCATTTTTTCCTGGATTTCCCCTCTCCATTGAAAATCACGCACAAACAAGTCCTAGAGCCAATCAGCCCAAGGGGTTAAAATTAAAAAGTCATTATTCAAAATTAAATGGTCAAGATCTTGATCAATCATCTTAATCTTCCTGATAACGACATTTAGTGGGACCCTCCTTTTATTTAAGAATTTTGTTAGATAATGGATAAGATTTCATCATCTAATTGTCTAATCTATGATGAAATGAAATTAAAGGGGTCCAGGGGTTTTAGTTTACTGTACAACCCGCTCCATTCGTAAAGTACTTGTATACAGAGAACAAAACTACGGTCAAGACAAGACACGTAAGCACTTTACTATCGGTTGTACAAAATCCAGCCAGTCACCGACAATTCCAACAAAACCGTCGGTCCCCAAGATTTTAACCCGTAACGCGCCTCCATATTGCGCTCGTGAGACGTCCACTCTAGTATATCCTAGGAAAATAGATGCCTCAGTGCAGTGACTGAAGAAACCAGAGGAGCTTCCGACTATAATCTCTAGATTTTGACATTCGTGCCATAAAAATTCCACAACTTATAAACAATATCTAGGGTTTTTTTTTTATTTAACATGAAAAATGAAAAAATTTAATATTTATAAATTTTTGTTCAGTTAAAATCTAAATTTTAATTTAATAGATTTCTATAATTATTTTTAAAAAATAATATTTATAAATTTATAAATTATAATTTATCTCTGACTTTTTAAATTAAAATTTCTTTTATATTAAAAAAAATTATAACTAAAATTTGTACTATTACTCAGATAAACTGACATTTTTGTACTTTTTCTTGTCAAATTTCAAAATTAAAATATTTTAACACAACCTCTTACCATTTATATAGCTACTGCTACAACTAACAATGAGAAATTTACAGAAACTTGGATTTGGAAATACAATTCCAAAATTCTTCTCTATTTTCAAAAGTAATTAACACCATTTTTGTTGTTCAATGGTGTTACACTGCCCACTATACATTACAGTCGACAAATTACATTTCTCTATCTAAATAATAAACCAGAAATAATAATAAAAATAAAAAGGGAAAGGGAAAAAATATAGTAATTAACAAAAGGAAGAGACCTTTGGGAATTTCTTAGACAATCTCATTTAAGACAACAATTGTGTTCTTTATTGCTACAAATTTTAAGTGGCTGAGATTATGACCACTATAAATTTAGGACCAACTAAGTTTTTAATGATGAACACAAAAAAAATATAGATTAATTAATTAATTTTTCTTTCCCTCTTCACCACCGTCTTGCAAATAAGCTTTTTTTCTCCTATCGGCTCTAGAACACAGACAAACCACAAGGAAACACGTGGCATAGATCACATGGACCTTCCAATTAGTCTTGGGCGGTTGATGCAAAACCACCCTATGAAACACTGCCACGTAATAATGTAGCCCAACGGCAAAGCCCACTAAGGTTTGGCCCAAGCCCAACATCTTGGAACCCAGCCCGGACTCGGTTGAGAAAACAAGAATCAGATACATCAGAAGCAGCAGCAAGTACAGCACGTATCCAAGTGTCAGAAGCACCTGTAAACAGACGTATGTTGAGGGCGAAGTAGCGTAGAAAAACTTCAGTGGCTCGAGCCCGGTAACGAGGGAAGTGAGGCAGAGGATGGAGAAGTAAATGGAGAGGTAAACTTGGATGAAAATGAGGATTTTTTGGAGTGAAAAGTAGGCTTTGATGCGGTTAAAAATGAGGGAAACTATGAGCAATGGGATTAAAAGGAAAGCACAAGAGATTATAGTAGCAATGGTAGGGGCATGTTTGTTGCCGACATATGGTTTGAATTGTTTCATGATTTGGTTATTGTATTTGGCAATGTAAGCTTTTGAGGTTGTTGAAAATTTTTCAAGGTCTGGGATAAGGGTTTGCTGGAACTTGGTTGGGAGATCTCGGAACTCAGCTACTAAATCAGAACCATCTTCTTGATCAATCCAACTGGGTTGTTTTTTTTGTTGTTTTGGTTTCTGGGTTGTGGGGATTTTTTCTTTGCTTGAGTTCTTTTGGGGTTTTGAAGATTCAGGGTCAGTCTGTTTTTTGTCTTCCGCTGTTTTTGTAGAAGTGATTTTGGTGGTTGTTTTGTTCTTGGATGGGCTTAGTTTGAGTAGATCCGAGGTTTTTTTGGAGGTAAGTGAAGTGGTCTTGGAGGAGTTCGTGGCTTTTGATGTTGAGTTGAGCTTCTTTAACAGGGAAGTGGAATTGAGATTCTTCTTCAGGATAGAAGTGGAATTGAGTTTCTTCAGTTGAGAAGCGGAATTGAGATTCTTCTTCAGGAGAGAAGTGGAATTGAGTTTCTTCAGTTGAGAGCTGGAATTGAGCTGCTTGAATTGAGACTTGGAAAGGGTATTAGAGACTGTTGTTGCTTTTGTGGAATTGGTAGGTTTGGAAAGCTTGGTTTGGTTCTTGGTGGACAAATTTGATTTGATAAGTTTAGTTTGGTTTTTGGGGGATAGGTTTGATGATTTGAAGAGCTTGGTTTGGTTGTTCTTGGTGGACAAACCAGAGCTTTTTTTCTTCAGCAACAATTGTTCATCGTCTTCTTCAAGCTTTAGCAATCTTCTTCTAGCACCAAACCGATTGGTTTGAAGCTCATGGCTCTCAATGGAGGCACAAAGGAGCATAAAAATCAACAAAAACAAAGCAAGATAAAGCAAAAGTACCTTACGGAAACTGAAGAACGTTACTGCAGCCATTGATGACACTCTAGGATATTGCCCTGAAGATCTAATATTGGAGATCCAATGATTTTAAGTATGGATTGGATCTAAAGTTCATGTAAGAAAAAAGAAGTAAAGAGAAGGGGTGGGTAAAGAGAGAGAGGGATGGAATTGGAAGTAAGTAAAAGAACAGTCCTATATAGTTGTATATTTATATGAAAGGGGAATGAAGACTTCCATGGAAAAGTGGGAAGAAGATGAGGTTAGTCACATGGTGCTTAAAGCCAAGAAAAAAAATATGTTTTCACTATTAACGCGGTTTTGCCCTGTACCCTCGGTGGCTACTGCCTCACTAGTAGAGTTAAAAGGGGGAAAGCCTATTTTAATCTTAAACAATTCTTCAAGTTGTGATTAAATCGATTTAGCAAAGTTTTTTGTTTTGATTCTTACTCCAATACCAATTACAAAAAAAAAAAAAAAGAAAGAAACCGGATAAATACAAAAGAAGGGAGGGAGATACCATAGAGAAATGAGAGAGTTGAGAAGATTGATGCCTCTTTCTAACAAGAGAAATTTAATTTATAGACAAAATTTTTACTACAAGTTTGCTTCAGATTCCTTCTTGTTGTTGAAAAATATAATTTTTTGTTGCTATTTACAGGAAGTCACTTAATTCTTATTTGTTTGTCTACCACTTGTTTTTTATCTTTAAAAAAGTCTTTTTTTCAGGTGGTCGAATGGTGTATTTATCAAGTCATTGTCATCCTTCTTGAATGTTGATCAAGTTCAACTAAAATGACTACTAAGTTCTTGTCCTTTTTACTTGTTTATTTACGAGAGCTTTGGCCATCGGTCAGAAAAAAAAATTGCACTTCTAATTGTTAATTTTAGGTCAAATTAAGGTTCAATATTTCACTTCGTTATGTTAAAAAAAATTATAATTAAATTTGAATCCTAACAGTTTTAAATATAACAAATCTCTCATTAAAAAAAAAACTTTGCAAAAAAATTTAAATAGGAAAATCCTCGCACTTTCTCAACTACAAAAATTGCTACTAGCACTAGAAATCATTTTACAGAAGCTTCAAAATGAACAACTCGAATAATGCATACACTGCCAACTACTTTTCTCACAGGAAAAGGGTGACATTTTTTATGACATCACCAAGACGGCCTTTTCCCGAACCCCAAAAAACTTTGGTGTACAAAATTTTTATTAATGCTCTTTGTGGCAAATAAATGCCGGTTTGCACAAGCATTTTGGCTAGAGTTGGATCCCATCTCCACTTTATGCAATATACCACCAGCGGTCCACCAAACTCCTGTTAGGCTGCTATCCATATTAAATTTTTGGGAATGTTTTTCAAGAATTTGAATTGCGTTAGTTTTTTTGACTCAGAATGTGACTCAGGATATAGCAGCTAATTAGAAAAAACAATGACCAAAAAAAATATGAAAGTTTTAAGGTGGAAAGACCAGTAGTTGAAATGTTTGACTTATGTGCTCTGATTTGCCTAATATTGTGGTTTCCTACAAGGGAAAATTCATTGAAAAACAACTAGTTGTAGGCTCTAGACAAAGGCCCATCCCTGCAAATTAGTCAAAATTTATGATCTATGAGAATATAGGAGCACAGATTCTGAAATTTGGGCGGATCCTAAGCGGGTCCTATAAAAACAGTGTAATGCCATTTGCCTATCATAGAATACCGATATGGTTCTTGGGTCCCAAAAAAATGGTTGCTGGAAGCTGTCTTAACTGTCCAATCGTGTTACTATTTATCTTCGTGAAGTAAGTATGCTCTGCTATCCCACGGAAAATAGACATGTACATGTGCCTGTGCCAGTTTCTCCACGGCTTTATGAGAATCTGAAAGAGAAACTTTCAAAAAGAGCTGTACTTTAAATTGCAATTCAGAATTTGTCATTTTGGTTTCTCAGGGCTCTGAATTATGATAAAAATCGTCTTGTATTTGTGAGCCAGCAGTAAAACATGGGTAGGAAATCATTAGCCTTCCTCTTGAAGCATGTATATGTAAAATCTGTTAATGTGAGTGTGCCTTAAAAGCCCATAGATCCTGATTTGGAAACCCAATGCTGGTCCTCATTGACATTATTATCAATAATGAAAATTTTCGGTGATCCCATGTTTTCATTTTTCTGTCAAAACTAGTTTGGTTTTGGTTTTTAATATTGTTGTAACTACAAGTTAATTATTAATACCGAATAATTAAAATTATAAAAAAATTAAATTATTATTAATTTAAATTTTAATATTCATATTTTTTTTATTTTTAAATTATGCTGCCTTTATTTATATATATATATATATAAACAAACCAAATATATATATATATATATATAAAAGATAATGGGTAAATTCGTTTCCCAATAATCTGTAGGTGACATGTCTTTGTCACATTAACAAAGAATGGCGGTGATTTTAGACTTTATCTGCTCACATACAATCAATCACAATCAATTTGAAGGGATGAGGATGTGCCATAGATTTCATTTGGCTAGCTGTTAGTCACTATAATATCTATGCATGAAAATAAAAGGTGCTTCCTCTCCTATTCACTATTCTCTCCGACAATATCCAAGCCTTGCAACTTAAAAAAATAAACGCTTATGAATGATTTTTGTGCTGTACAAATAATGACCGGTCACATGAAAGAAGTAATGTTAATATATGTAAAGCCCATGAACGACAGACGGAAAAACAAGTACTTTCTCATGTCTTTATTAAAGTCTTTCATTGCTTATTCCTATCTGGCCATATTTCCATGTGCGTATGGATCCAAGTCTTCCTGCAGGCAGCTAAGCCTTATTAAAGGTTGTATTTATGCTAGAATTGTAATCAATCAATTTTAAATTAATATAATATTAAATTTAAGTATAAATTTAAATTCGATTTAAAATTTAATATCTAAAATTCGATTTAAATTTAATTAAATTTTTTTTTAGTTCATCAAATTATTCGAATTCGATTTGAGATAAAAATCGAATTATTCGAGTTCGTTCGATCAGACTCGATTAACATATAAAAATAAATTCGATTTTTATATTTTAAAAAAATTTAATTATTTATACTTCAACTCGAATTTAAGATATTTTATTAATTAAAATATATTAAAATATAAAAATTTGATTAAACTAAAAAACAATTCGAGTTGAATATAAAAATATTTGAATTTGATTTGAACGATAAATCAAGATACTCGAATTAGAGCTCGACTTAATAATGAGGAATTAAATTTAAATTTTATTCAAATCAAATCTAAATAACATGTGAATATTAATATATTATTTATATCATTAATTTATTCTATCTTACTTTCTTTTTTTTTTAATTAAAAAGAAATTATTTAATGAATTTTACGGACGAGTGTTATAAGATCACTCTTTATGATTATTATATAAAATAGTATTTTCATCTAATGTATTGAAAATCATGAATATAATTTATTACATTTAATACAAAATTATTACTATAAATAATGTATTGACTTTAAATTGTGTGACACCCGTTAACTAAACCCTTATTTAATTATAAAATTTTTTGGCCTAGAATTAGGAATTAATTAATACTTGTTATAACTTTAATTAAGAAAATCTTTTACATTTAATCTATTTTTTCCATTAAATTAAAAAAAAATTAAAATTTTCTTTTCTTAAAAATCATCTTAATGAGTGTTTCTATTAACTCGTCATCTCCACTTATCAATTGATAATCGTCACAATTAATGGTTACTAGAATTAGTCCTCGCAATGCTAGATAGATTAATTATTTTAATATAAAAAAATAAATAAAAATAAACAAAAATATTATAAAAATTTAAAATTGAAAAAATATAATATTTTATATATTATGATTAATTTTTATTATTTTTTCATATTATATTATGGGTATTGTATTTTTTATTAATTTGATTAAAATGTATGATTTTTTTAATTTTTTTTGTAGACTATAAACTTTTTTGTAAAAATATTTAAAACAATAGAAAGGAAAAAAAGGAAAGTAACTTTTTATTTTTATTTTTATAACTTTTATTTTTATAATTATTATATTTTTATTATATTTTACTATAAATAATAAATAATAAAAACTTAAAATTTATAATAAAACCCATCTAATTACAATCAAACATCGGATAAACTCTCCTATTCCTTTCTCCAAATTCAATTAGTGACCAACTCATCATGTACTAATCCAATTAAAACCCAACACACAATTACCAACAAACCTATTAATTTTAAAAATTTTTTTATCAACTAATAACTATTTAACAAATAAAATGTAATTTGGTAGCTCATAATCGAGAGTTGTCCCCGCTTTGGAACAACTTTAGTGCAGAAAATTTTTATTATATGCTATTGATTAATTTATATGTACAATATTAATACTTTTATAATATTCATCTAAAAATGAGATCAATTAATTTTATATTATTCTGAAATAATTTATCTAAATGATTTTTTTTCTTAATTAAATTTCATTATTAAAAATATTTAAAATTTTATAAATTTTGAAAATTCTCTAATTTCAAGAGTTTTAAAAAAACTTATTATATTCCTTGAAAAATTGTTGTATTAATTTAAAATTTTATAGGCAAAAGTTTATTTTTTTATTTTTATATTTTACCAACTTTTTTTTTTTACTAAACGTTTTATTAAGAAGTACATAAAATATTTTTCGTTGGAATACTTTCAAAATCTTTCCAACAACTTTTGTAAGATTCTAAGAAAATTCCTTACCTACGAATTTCAATTACCACTTGTAATTTTATTTTAATTTTATTTTTGGAAAAATGATAAGTTATTTCCATTTTTTAAAAAATTTATATGATACAAATAAATAAATAAATAAATTTATAAATTTATTTGTCTAACATATATTTTTAGTTTTTTTTTAATGTTTATCAAATGATCAAAACATATTCCTAATCTAAAAATTTAAATATGTATGTAAATAAAAAAATTAATAAGAAAATAAAAAATTAAAAATAAAAAATAAAAATAAATAAAAAGAAAAAGAAAATAAAGATACTAAAATACTAAAATAAAAAAAATAAAACAATGATTGCCATGTGCCAAAAACAAAGAAAAAAAATCAAAATTTTCTTCAAATCACCCCATCTTATTTATTTTATGTCTTAAACAACCCTCTAATCATTTTTTATATCTCATATTAAATGTCATTGAAATTGAGAATCCTATATAACTTTAATAGATTTTATAGATTATAATATCTTAATTAGTGTTCTTAATTAAGAGAGAGAAATTACAATTAGATTATAATATCATTGTCTTTTTAGATCAATACATCTCAGAGTTTATAAAATCGATGCCAACAACGATGG